TGAGTTTTACACAAAACTTTTATTATTATTATTCCACCGACTATTTTTTCGAGATCTAATTAGTAATGCACTGATTAATATTGATATTCTACTTTTTTTTAGATCTTACAAATTTCAAACTAGCAATCATTTATATTTTACGATTGAAGACAGACTTTGAATTTAAGAAGTAAGTAAAAGAGAGGAGAATTTAAATGTATATTGGAAAAAAAAACAAAACATATGTAGATGAATATGTTAAAATATGGAAATACTGAATTCGGTTTCTTTAGCGACGTTTGCTCGATGTTAGAAGAAATGTATTCAAACCTGAATGGCAACTTACTCTAAGGGACAGATGAGGTTGGTAGCAAGGATAGTGGACCAGAACGGTGCCTTGTTTGTACTTGATAAATGAGCAGCGTTTTCTTCCGCGGTGTATCGGCGATGTTTGCTCGCCGTTTAATGCCGACGACAACCTGACTCAAATATTTAGCACGTACAAGACGAACAACAAGACCGTCTGCCTGTCACGTCCGAGCTTTCATCTCTCTCTCTCTCTCTCTCTTATGAAACTCTCAACGACGCATGTTCTTCGTTAATGTAAAAAAAGTATAGTGGACGCCAAGTAGACCAGCAAGCATTCAAAACACGGAAGGATCGATAGGCACATGATTTGTATTTTTAATTCATTATACGCATTACCCTGATCAGTGTACATTTATTTATTTACATCACTCCTCTCGGTTTTACTTTCTATTAATCAGATTCTAGAATCTTTGGAATTATATCGATAAAGCTTTTATCTTGCGTCGTTGTCGTTTTGATATATAATGTTTGATGGAATAATGTGTGTAGTGCTTCTTATTTTACACACACGCTTAATACGTATCGCACTTAGTACAATATATAATTATGTAGATATAAAGTATAAAGAAAATTGTTCGATATCGCGCCTCGTTATTCTCGGCTCGCCTTTCGATACAGAACCGTAGCTTCGAAGTGCGCAACGAAGCAGCAATCTCTTCGCTTCCTTTCCCGCAAAAAAATCGATGAGAAGGAGCGGCGATTAGTTTTATCGTCGTGGTTCTAATCATTCCGCAATCAATGGATCGTGAGCTTTAATTGCTTCTCCGGGACAATTATGGGATTCCAATCGGGCGGGAGAGAAGCGTTCTCTCCAGGAAGGAAAGTACATAACATTGTGCCCTAAGATTCGTATCGAGATTCTCTCCCTCTCTCCTCACCCGTACTCGATTCCAATCACCGTCGTATCGCCGCAAATTGTCCGTAATCTCGGCAACGCGCGCTTTTCTGAAAATAACACGTGGAGAATGGTCCGCGACGAGAGTGCGGATGCGTTCAGCTGCATCGTCTCGAATTGGTGCACCGCCTTTTGGAGAAGCGAGTCGCCCGTAGTTGATAGTTATTGCCCGCTGCAACGCAAGCGATGAAATGCAATCGGAATTTAATCATACACCGAGCGAATAGGTAGGAGACGGAAGGTGTACAAACAGTTGGACTTTTGTCGTAAGTAAACCGAGAAACACGTGTAACGCTAATTAACAATGCACGCACGAGAGGATAAGATTTGCTATCTTTGGACTCCTCATATTGTTACACGCGTGTGACAATATGCAAAGCATATGTGCACATCTCGTTCTGTTATTAGATTTTTTATATACCAAAATCATGAACTTTTAGATAAAAAAAAACGTAAATTGATAATTTGATGTTAATACATTTGCGATGATTCGCAATTAACTCAATAAATTATTTTTTTAGCCACAATCCAATTTGGTTGTTTGGTCGATTTTTGTAAAAAAATTTTACACTCTTATTATTACGCCAACACGAATTTCTGTACTTTGATCTTGAATAATGTTTCAGAGAAATATCTTGGTTTTTTTTTTTTTAAACGGCATTGATTTGATCGGAATTTATTGCATTAAATTTGTTTAATCCACGAAATCGAAACTCCGATAATACAATCACCATGAAGAGATCGCAATATCACCCAACTTTCGTGAGACAAAATCGATGTCGTCTGGTGTAATCGAGGATTACGATGCGGATTTTATTGAGCTTCACAATTACAGAGTTGCGATTTTCGATTTGCAGACATTCTGCGGCCTTTTTAAAGGGAAGAGCCGAGACTCGTTCAAGGCGAGCCACATGCTACCGTAATTAACGGCCCGATATTTCATCTGAAAAACAAGGCGAAACAACCAATATTATTGCATCATGGTCGACGGCATGGCAGCTGTAAGAATACATTAAATCTCGGAAAGTGGTGCAGCGAGCGCGAGCGCGCGAGTTGCTCTCCCGGATAACGGTTTATTAATAACAGCCACATTGTATAAATTCCGCAATACCGTCACGATAAATAATAATATTGTGAAATTTATTGATTTTTATTGCTTTCGAAAGATTTTGAACGCAAAAGACTTTATTAATTAATTCGCGGCGCACAAATAAGTAACGGTATTTCATTCTCCGTTTGATTATAACCAGATCTTGGTTTTGTAATTCTGCATTCGCTCTGTATTGCGTTACGGAATAAGAATTCCGTTATCAGGATATTTGTTATCAGAATGTTAAAGCCATGTACAATGTATATATATTTATTTACGCTATCGCGTAATGCGAGAGCGCGCAGAGATAATCAGCGGAATAATTAATCGACCACGAATGGCGCGGTGCGTAAATCCATCTTGAGGAATTAGCGCGTAGAAAAAAAGCCGGCACTAGCCGAACAACTTCATTCGATATATCCTTCGCGTATAACGTTACGTCGTCGGGGCGTTAGGTCATATTCCGTTTCTGTCATTTCGTTGCAAAACTGTGGTACGGTATTTCATTACGTGATATTCCGCATTGTGTAAGGCGTATCAACAATAGGCAATTTCTTCATGTAATTAATAACAGTTGATAAGAGTTATAATTCACTCTTCTATCTTTGTGGAAGAGACAATGAAACAAATATTCGAAATTGAGGAAAGTGCGATGGTACAGGAAGATATCGCGCGTTCCTGGTACCGGAAATCGCACAATCACTACAAACCGTCAGAACAAATTACGAGAGAGTAATATGCGACGATCATAAGATTATAAACTACTCAAGCAAATTCGTAGATTGAAGTGAAACTTATAAGGATTGGTTTTTGCAGTTACAAAAAGCCCTTTGATAAATCTGCTAAATTTGGAAAATCTTCGAAAAGTCAAGGATCAGGATCGCAAGTTAAAAGAATTTTGACTTGGATTAATAACGAACCCCTTACGTTAATAAATCGTCGGCAAGCAGATTTCATAGAATCCACTAGATCATTTGTTGGACAAATCAAGTAATTATCTTAAATTAATAATTCTGAATTTTTTCTATATAATTTATAATAATAATTACGATATAGCGAAAGAATCTCATCAATCTCTTGCAATAGATTCCTTTCTGTCATGTGAATAAATAATGGACAAAAGTCTTTATAAATCTTTATAAATTTTTTAATTAAAATTCTGTCAACTTATGAGGAATAGGAAAACATCGCGTTTTTATCAAGATGTACGTGGTAAAAAGAACATTAAAGACGAATTTGACGCATCAGATGCCTTACGCGATTCGGAATTAGATAAAGAAATTCTTTTCTGGTGGCAATGTCTACAAGATTTGAGCAATTTTCGTCAGAAACTCAAAACGCGCATTCCGGAAGTGCTGTTTTTAGATATAGAAGATGAATTTTCTCGTTTAGACAAAGTATACATATATGTTATTTATTATAATTAATGCTGTATATTTGTGTGTTATTAATTATTATTTTGTATACTTATCGCGATGATAATTTGTGAATTTAATTATAATTTTCATATTTTTTTAATAAATAAGAGGCATTAATTTTCAATCAAATTAACTAAGTAAACGGGACTTAAAATCTTATACTACCTTTTTATAAAATTATAAAATTACGATGCAGGAATGTATTGCAGTTCTGCCTGAAGAAACAATTTTCATGATTTTCAAGAAGTATCGTATATGTCCAAACAAGGAATTTCTCGTACCATTAATGGACACATTGCAGTTACGCAAAGAGGGAAATATTCATTACAGAGAATTGCTAAATATCTTAAATTGGAAACGCAATTTGCCCGTTCTACCAAAGACAAAACGTGAACAAATTATTATAATTCTTATAATATTAATAAGCTTTCTTTTTTGAAGATTGGAATTAATTTAAAAAATTGGAGAAACTTTCGTAAATAATTAATAGCGATTTTAAATTTGTTTAAATAATTTCTATTTTACTTTAATCTGCAATAACATAAGTAATAATATTAAAAAATATTTTAGAAGCATCACTGGCGAGTTCAGATTATACTACTACTTATAGTGACAGCATAGGAAATGTTCAAATGATTGATAACGCGAGTAAGACTTTCTAATATTTCTGTATTTTAAGATATTAAAATATTCTTCTCAAAAGAAACTATAAATACTCAGAATTCGAATTTTTTAAAATATAGAGGTACGCGCAGCTGGACTTCCTTCTAAAAAATCAGATTTTCTAACAACAATATTGCATGCTGATATATGTAGTACAAACAAGAAGAATCAAGATGATTAAATTGTTGCTCATTGCTTGATATCGTTCAGTGTTTTTATGAAATACGCACTCAATATATATAGATTTTTTAAAAGTAAATCTTGTCTTATTATATATAAATTTAAAAAAAAAGGAGAGAAAGAGAATACATATATTATCATAGTATATATTTTTTGCTTTTGAGATATAGAATAAAAACTGTCCTTACAAAAAGCCTGTATAAATTTATCTTATAGTCTCACAAGGAGGAAATATTCGAGAAATTCAGGGAATATTCAATTTTGTGTTTCAATTTCATGGCAAAAAAATTATGTATGGGTAGAAATATACAAGCTCTTAGAAAGCTTCATATAAGAAAAATCTATAAGCGAAAATTTATATATAAATCATATATTTTAATCGTATATTTCAAAAACAACAGTCCTATCTTTTCTTAATAATTATTATAGTATAAAGTCAATTCATGATGTTCAATACACATCCTGTCACTGTACAAAGTACTTATTTAATTAATATATTTAATTATTTTAATTATTTACAAAGTAGATTTTTTAATCTATTGGTTTCAAGAATTTTGGTTTCTTTTCTATTGGTTCGTCGTCTTCACTTTTCATTTTTCTATGCTGTGGCTTTTTGTACTGCCTCTGTGTAGCATCAAACTTTACTCTTATTTTTTGCCATTGAACAGCCATTTGCTCATCTGATATCTCAGTCTCTTGTTTCGTTTCCATTTTCGCTCGCTTTTCATTTTCTCTTGCTTCCATTAACTTCTCTATCTTTGGGTTTATCCCTCGAAAACTTAATCGACCATCAGTGAGTTGTTCGCAGAAGACATAGCTTGATTCTATAAAAAATTTTCCACTGAAACATAAAATAGAAACAATCAGCAATGATACTGTGATTTAAATAAAACGTTCAAGTCTTAATAAATTTCAGTATTTAAAACACCCAACAGTTTATTAATTTAGATTATTATTAATTTAGATATATAGGATTTTGATACTTGGAAAAAGTAATAGTAACATAAAAGTACCTACGATGCTTTTTTCATGCGTGATGTAAGCTCATTACCAAAGTAGTGCTCTCCTTCTTCCTGAAACTGCTGTTTCTCCACTTTGTCTTTCGTTCGTTTCATAAACTACAAATAAATCCAGATGTTATCGTACAATTTATCGTTATAACAATGTTATCGTAGTTTTATAATTTTCTCCAACTTACCTTCATCTCCAATATACTCTTTGATAAAGTTATTCTTTTGGAGTCCATGTTTATAATAATTGATTTGCTGATTTGGGAAAATAACGATGGTTGTTCTAGAAGTGGCTAAAACTGAAAAATCTTTGAAAAATTACATGCACAAGCCAATTTATAACAAACGCCGCAATTCTCGCAAACGCAGTGTAAACAAAGAAGAATATAACCTAATTTTATCATGTTGCTCCGATCGCAGCACCGTTGCGATTTCGAACAGAACTCGAAACAACATTGACGTTGTTATCATCTGTTGTCATTTTAAAATGCCAACTAT